AGAGAAAGAAAGAAACATTTTCTAGAAAATTTAATGATGTGATTGATAGAATTTGTCTATCCACATATCTAATTCGTCCATATTGTAGGCGAAATTATCTTCTTGAGGTTCTGCTTTAAAGATAAGTTTTCCTTCATAAAAGACGTAGAAACGAAATGGCCATGAACCATAAGTAGCATGGAAGTTGTTATTCATATCGTCAACGAGCATGGGCATTTCGAAATTGAAGTTCTTCTTAAATTGACGAGCATTTTCAAGTCTTTGTTTGAGTGATGTTGGTTGTTGTACACAAGAAATAGTTTTTCCTACTGGCCATTGATCAGATGCATGCGCTTCGGCTATATATATTGCCAGAAAACGAATGCCCTTTGGCGTATGTGAGCGAAAGAGCGCGCTACAATTAAATAAGAGCTATCGTTATCGTCAATCAAGATCGAAAATATGATATTTACTTCATTCGTTCGACAGACGCCCGAAATGGAGGTCAGGTTGATGAGCCAGTCAAAACAACCAATGGTTGACCAACTGAGATCTGCGAAAAAAGATTTGTCGGCTGACCGTCTAAGCTGTACAAATTGACATCTTGAGCATATTGGCCTTGATTGATTAAACCTTGTGTTATTCTGTTGTGTTTCACTACAATGAAAGTTATTCTTTTATATACTGAAAAAAAGGGTGTCCGACGAAACCCTTGAGGTTTCGAGGAGCTTTACGATACTTTCAGAGTATTGTACAAGTCTACGAAACTTACTACAGACTTCCATAACCTTATAGGTTTCGTGAAAAATCCTTACACATTTCGCAGCAGCAAGTGTTTTGTACTGATCCTTCAAAAGGTATCGTAGTCCAAGAGGTTTCGTACTAGACTGTGTTTTTCGGCCTATATATCGTGAAGGCAGCTTCACCAATCGAAAACTTGACCTATTAAAGCATTCCTACGTTCACCTACCATTTGCTTTCCAATGGCATTTCCATATTTCATCTACACATTTCGCCTTCATACTTTTTCATATGAAGTTACTTTTCCGAGCAGTACACTAACAAGCGGTTATATGGCACCCAAATTTTTCCGGAATTTTTTAAATCTCTCCATCTTCCCGAAGCAAAAAAAATTTCTACCAACTCGCCAAGTCCATCTCGTTGGTATCTCACCGGCACATAGGTTCTGCACATTTCTCTGTGTCCTAGCCAAATCTATCGTTTTATATAGCTTGAATGAAAAAAGATAAAGGTCTGCAATTTTTAGTTTAGACAGATCTGTATGACTTTTCTCTTCATTAAAAATTTTAGACTTTTCTCTTTTTCCAATCATGAGATATAAGGCCATAGATTTGTCTAAAACACGGATAAACGTGCAGAACTTATGTGCCAAAGGGATATAGCAGTAAGGGGCTATGTTTGGATGAGGATTTAGATATTGAAATAAGGAGTTACATACAGAAATAATGAGTTAAATATAGAAATAGACGGTCAAGTTTAGTTATAAGGTGTTAGATGTAGAAATAGGGGTCAAGCTTAGATATAAGGAGGTAAGTTTAGATACAAGGGTTTGGGTATAGAAATAAGAGGGTTAGATATAGGTATTAAAAAGATATGGATGGGTAATGTAGTTTTATTATGGACGTGGGACGTAACTTCGAGTAGCAAACCGTGCTGTTTTGCAGTTGCGAAAAAGAGTATGATATGAAATGTTGTTCATACGAAACTTAAAAAAAGTTTAGAATTCGTGTCAAATCTCAAAACCTTTTTTAAGTTTCATATGACACCCTTTTTTCAGTGTAGTGGCATAACCAGAAGTAGTTTCACTAAACAATTATTCAAAACTTGAATTTCACATGACCTTATGTACTGTTCTGAGATACAGTGAGGGGTGTTTATAATTGGTCGGGATAATTGAGAACTGAACGTAAGTTCTCTCATAGTTCCTAAGAATACGTATCGCAAATGACTCTTCAAACAAAAATTTCTTCAATCGATTGACTGGTGAATATCTAATCGGTATGTGCAATATTCAATAATTTTTGACTGCGCCACTGCTCTTCAATATATATTTAGAGTTTGAAATAGATTAATTTCAGTTCGATTTATTTTTCAAACGAGCGTATCGACGTGATCATCGATTAATAACTTACCATAGAAAGCAGCTTGAACTACAGGATCATCTGGAAAACGATACAGTGCGGTGCGCAATGCATTGACATGTTGATAACCAAAGTATTCCACAACATGCTGTTGAATGAGGTCATGCACAAAACTGAAATTATATTAACATCAACCTGCGAAATATCGAAAACCACACTTACGTTACAGCAGCCTCGTCCTCATGATATAAATCCATTAGGTCTTGAATTGAGTCTGACAAACGAAGTCGGGTCTCATAAAGAATCATTTCACGAAGTATCTCTAATGGTGGAAGCTCTTCGGATACTTTGAGCGTATCGAAACCCATGTGACCAGACGAAGGAAAGAACATACGACAAATAACGCCCGGACCATTTGGTGCAGGCAGTTGCACTGTAAAAAAAAAGGGCCGATCAATCAACGCTTGCTCTTAATTTTTCTTTACATAAACCCTTGAAGGGTTTATGAGACCGTCATAAACCTTTAAAGCGTTTATGATTCAAAGGGTTTTTGATCGAAAGGGTATTTGAATTTACAAAGGGTATATAAAGCTTGTTTAAGGGTTTTGTGCTCCAATATTTTATTCGAAGAATTTATTATTAAACGGATAGGGATAGAATAAGATACGAATGTTTCGCAAGAGTTTATTATTTTGCAAGCAGGGGTACATTATTATACGGGTTATAGAAAGGGTTTCTTATTCTACAATTGACGGTAGATTGGTCTACACTTTCAGAAGAAGAGTTTATTACAATACGTGGAAGGATAGATTATTATATCGTGTCGTCCGGGGGTATAGTATTCTACACTCGAAGGTAGATTAATGTATGTCTCCCTAGGAAACGTTTATGATAATACGTTGAAAAGTATATTACTGCACGATAACATCCAAAGAGGTATATTATTCTACGATCAACGGTAGATTAATGTATGCCTTCGTAGGAAACGTTTATGATTATACGTTAAAGGATATATTACTACACGATAACGCCCAAAGAGGTATATTATTCTACGATCAACGGTAGATTAATGTATGCTTTCATAGGAAACGTTTATGATAATACGTTGAAGGGTACACTAATATACGATATCGCTCAAAGATATATATTATTCTACGATCAACGATAGATTAATGTATGCCTTCATAGGAAACGTTTATAATAATACGTTGAAGGGTACATTGCTGCACGATATCGCTCAAAGGGGTATATTATTCTACGATCAACGGTAGATTAATGTGTGGTTTCGTAGGAAACGTTTATGATAATACGTTGAAGGGTACATTAATATACGATATCGCTCAAAGAGGTATATTATCCTACGATCAACGGTAGATTAATGTATGCTTTCATAGAAAACTTTTATAATAGTACGTTGAAGGGTACACTAATATACGATATCGCTCAAAGAGGTACATTATTCTACGATCAACGGTAGATTAATGTATGCTTTCGTAGGAAACGTTTGAGGGTGTGGGTGGGTGTGGGTGTGGGTGTGGGTGTGGGTGTGGGTGTGGGTGTGGGGTGGTGGGTGTGGGTGTGGATGTGGGGGTGTGGGTGTGGGTGTGGGCGTGGGGTGTGGGTGTGGGTTGGTGTGACTGTGCCTGTGACAGTGGGTGTGGGTGTGTCAGTAAGAGTACACCTGCATCTACACCAACACCCGCACGCCACACCTACACCCGCACCCACACCCACACCCACCCTCAAGATTGATTGATGTTTGAGTTGTTTACAAACCGTTTCTTGCTACAATTTCGGTCGCATCGACCTCCTTAGCCATGACGTTTGACCCTCGCTGCCACTGCACCTGTACGCGGCCACTGTCGTAGTCGATGTGCTTGATGGTGACGTCTCGCATTCCTCCCGCGGTACGCTCAATCTTCACGTTCATGCCCACATAGAGCTTCTTGGCTGCATCATGTTTATCGTAAGCTACCCAAGACATATTAGATGAATCTAAATTGAAAAAAGTGTTTTGGCTAAGGAATATCAAGTAAATAGCAACTTCTCTTCAATGTTCATTGAAGAAAGAAAGACGAATGTGGAGAACAGATTTCCCAAGGTGAAAAAATTGATCCTCGGATCCTTGGTGTAACGAAAAATAATATATATAATTCAAGCCGAGTCGCACATATAATCGTATATACGTATATACTATATATGTAGAGCTAATTTCTTTAAAGTGATAAGATGTGAGTATACAACGTGTAGTGAAAGTGTACACAGCACTCAAACAACTTGAATGGATACTTATCGCTATACTGTTCAGGCTCTTGACTTGACTTAACTTTGTTACTTGTTCACCAACCTATTTGCTTCTGCAATTGACTGTGATATACGGTAAGCAATTGAGGCAGATCTGAACTGCACTAAAACGGACTACACCCTACCGAAACTACACTAAACCGAAAACTACTACTTGCTGTCACAGCGACAGCCATTTATTTATCGAGAGAGAAAAGGAGAGCACAGAGAGAGCAATAGGAGAGGAAAGTGGGAGAGAGTCGTCAAGGCAAAAGCGAGGCAGGACGAAAAAGGTAGAGAACAGGCCACGCGATGCTCGAGCGAGAGTAAAGGGGTGTCATACAAAAGGACATCGGACGTCTAATCTAGACCCAGTTTGTCTCAACCAGTGGGGACAGTGTATTTGTTGACATCGTATGACGTGATATCGACTGGTGTAATCAGATGGGATGACGTGCTTTTTGGCACACTTGGATTCTGAAGGATCTTCTGGATTCTTTTGGATCCCAGTCAAGGGAAAAGTTGGATCCTTTCGGATCCTTTGGGATCCTAGGATCCCAAAGGATCTCAAAGGATCCGAAAGGATCCAGAGGATCCGAAAGGATCCAGAGGATCCGAAAGGATCCAGAGGATCCGAAAGGATCCAGAGGATCCGAAAGGATCCAGAGGATCCGAAAGGATCCAGAGGATCCGAGGATCCGCTTTTTCCCCCTTGAGACTTCCTGTATATGGGATGTAGGGGGAAATCTTCAGTGTCCGAAGGACCCGAAGAATACCGTGTGGATCTAGGAGTTTTCTTCGAGTTGGATCCGATAAAATACTATATAGAAAATGAGATATGCATTATATAGGATAGACACCATGAGATAAATACGGACTCCGTACCGCTTCTGATATCTCACCGATATCGATGAATTTCAATCGGTATTTTTGAATATTTGGTCAAGTCAACTACATGGTTTTATATAGTATGAGGAAGGTAAGTTGAAAATAGAACGATAGTATCATGGTTTTATTAGTGTATACAATTGTAGTTTTTGTAGTAGTAAACTGCATTGATACAACACCCTTTTATACGTTGATTGCTTTTTATTAGAACGTTAAATTTTGATTCGGCCATACCCAGGTCTATGATTCCGACCTCCGGATCCTTCAGGAGCCGGTCCAATTTCCGATCTTTTCCGGTCGGAAAAATACTCGAATCATGGAAGCAGTATTCCGGCCGGAAATTTCTCGTACTCGGAAACTGAATGATCCGTCAATTTCCCGTCACCGGATATCTACTGGAAAAAATCCGAACCTACAGGAACCCGCGGAAAACTGACAGTGGACAGACCGGTTCCAACCCGGAAAAACATGAAAACCCCTTCTAAATGTAGTGGAAAGATCTTTGAAAGATCTTTCAGAGATCTTCCAAAGCTATACCTATACCCTTATAGGTACATTATTATACCTATACCTTCATGGGTATATTATTATAACTATCAGTGTTGCCACCTTTTGAAGTCCGAAAAGCAGAAAATACTTTGCAAAAAGCAGAAGATGGCAGAAGTTTTATCATCGAAAAGTAGAAAGACAGCAGAAAGTGTGTTTATGATATGAAACTAACGGGTAACTCGTAATAAAAGAGGGTCTCAGTATTTTGTCAACATCTTAAGCGTTATCTTATTGCTCACGCTTTATTTTTTTATCAAAAGATTCACCGTCTGCTTCTGCGCAAATTGCATATTACGTTGTAAAAATATTTATTTCTTTCTCTTTCGACATCACCACGATTTAAAAACAGCACTACACACAACTTTCAAAATCTCTATTTTTTTCAATTTTTTCCGAAAACATCCAGTCCTTAGACTAGTCTTATTATCATTGCTCGTGCCATATTCTTTATCCAGCAATAAAATAAATTGCCTTTGGTACGTTGATTGAAATGGACCAATTTATCTCTTCAGTGGCGGCCAAATTATATCCAAAGTAATAGAATTAATTGAGAAACTGGACATTTTGGAAAAAGATTGAAAAAGAAATGAAGGCTTTGAAAGTTGTGTACAATGCTTGTTTTAAATCATGATGATGTTGGAAGAGAGATAAGTGTTTTTTTACAGCGAAATATACCAATCTCTGCAGAATCAGACAGTGAATCTTTCGATAAAAAAATAAAGCGTGAGCGATAAGATAACGTTTAAGATATAAACAAAATACTGAGACCCTCTTTTATTACGAGCTATCCGTTAGTTTTAAATTTTAGTTTCAGCATACTAATCACTTGGATCGTATGACATCACAAAACACAACTAATTAATAAATACACAGAATCATTGAACACGTTTTCTTTTTAAAGAGTATTCTTCATCTGAGTTAAGAGCTTTTGATAAATCTTGTTTACCTAATAAATACTTATCCATTACAGTATGTGATAAGAAGAAATTCAAAATAATTGTTGATTAAATCATAGCATTTACAATTTTTTTGTTTCTTATTATTCATGGGATTATCAATATTAGCTTTTTATTAGCAGTGTTCGGAAAACTGTTGATGACGAACAATAAATGTTAATTGAGACGGATCAAATTTATATTCTTTTAAAGATCATTAATATTCGACGACTTTGAACCATTCTCTGTTGAAGATAACTCTATTGAATTTCTGTTTTCTGATTTAACTCCTGATGATATAATTATTACTTGAGCAACTACCACTTCTTTGTGAATACCTTCTTCACTGGTCGAGCTGACATTATCATTTAGAGGCGTTTTTTCTGTTCCTTTCCTCTCACTAATCATATTAATTATTCATATTCATTGAGTCAATAAACAAAAGAATGTATATGTTGATATATATGAATTACATGAGTAATCAAAATACGATAGAAAACCATAGGTAAAGAATTGATTTAAATTCAAATATATAGATTGGTAGTTGTTTGTAGTCAGTAGAAAATTAAAATCATTTGTATCAAATAGAAAGAATTAGAATG